ATTTCCAATATGTTTAACTAATATAGAAAATAAATATCATACCAATATTCTAACATCTGTTTAAGAGTCGTCGCCAATCATACAAGGTACATAAATTTTATCTATCTGTTCAAAATAAGCACGTCCACTATTTTCCCTGTAAAAAATAAGAAAAGTCAAAAGTCAATCGGAAATGATAATAAAATCAATACGATAAATATATTGAATATAAATGCACGTACTTCCTTATTTGGATAAAGTGCCCATGAGAATACCATGTCTCCCGTCTTGTTCTTTAGCTTCATTTTCGTATTTATCCATAGTTTTCTGATCAACCATTCCTGTCAAAACCTTTTTAATATAAAATGTAAATTAGTATTTACGTATTTACAGAAATAAATTACTCTGAATGATACAGGATATTATTTCACATAATGCACCTAATTACAAATTGAACTATCAAAGAGCAACAAATGGAATTAAATTCTACATACATTTCCTAAGTTTAAATGCTCTTTTAAATATATTCTTCAATAACATGATCATTCACAAGCTCTACCTCTTCGAATTCTCTTAGGAGTTTCGCTTATATTCTCTTCGGGCATAAATAATGATCAAGATGTATTCATAAGGATCCGCACACGTCTTTGAAAATTTTCTTCTTCTTCTGCTTGAAATGCTAAAATTGCGCGTTTATACTTCTCTCAAACGTGTCACTTTTCTTTGGAGAATCCGCGGAAAGTAGAACTTTTGACGCGATTACAACACGCTACGAATTCTTGACTATATTGAAGATTTTGATGCTCAATTAGTAGAGCAGCATCTGAATTCCAGTGGTTAATTAACCAGGTTAATTAACGCCCATCCCTAGGAATCAGATATTTTTAATCTAAAGCGTTAAAAATATCAATAATGGTTTCAGTACATTCATTTGAAAAAAAAAAGATTCTTGAAGAAATCATAATAGACATGATTACGTACCCACGACAATTTTTGACGTAACTTGAAAATTTATTATTTTCATCGATATGTTAAAAGACCTTGTATAGGTAAAATGTTGATGCTTTAATTAAAGAAACTCCTGTAAGTTATAATTCGATGTAAGACAACTTATATTTTGTATCACAATTTGCCTAAATTCGCATGGTAGAAATATATTTAGTATTATGACGCCTTCTGAAGGTTTCATAATAGAAATACAAAAATAAATGCTTAAAAACTTTGTTAAACATACTTTTCCTCGCGAATTCTGACAAGAATAGCATGTATTCTTTCATTATGGCCACGAATTATAGTTTGAGCAAAAACAACAGTCCATTTTGCATGAATAGCAAACTAGTCCAAGAAATATTTAAATAACAATAATATTATTTTAAAATTAAAAAAAAATGAACATTTATTCGTTTTGATATAATTTTTGAAAAACCTA